TGAAAATTATGGCGGGTAAGTTATTATCTCGGGAACCAAGAAACCCAGGAAGCCGACGTTCTAGGGCAATGGTCTGTTGCCCACGTACGTTCTTGCAAATCCAAATTCAGCGCTCCCGCACACTTAGTCATCGCATACGGCTTCATGAGACTTTCGGCGGGGAAAATTATTATTACGGGGATCACGAAAGTTGGGAATCTGAAATTTTGGGGCGATATCCCCTATCAACGTGCGACTTCCGCAAAGTTGGATTCAGCCTTTGTACACCCGTGGGTACCAGGTACAGTTCCGTGAAAGTTTTGGTACGGAAATTATTATATGGTGAGCTGCAAAAGCTATAAAGCTGGGATTTTATCGTGGCATCCTCTGCCCACGTACAATTCCTCAAGTATTCAACATCCTCGTGGAAGTTTTGGCGAGAGTGATCATTATTTTGGGAGCCAGAAGAGTTAGGGGGCTAAAAATTTCAGGAGAATTTTTTCTGCCTAAGCAGGGGCTTTAAAAACTCCAATTCAATTCCTAAGTATGTCGAGGTCTCAAGTACGACCACCTGAAAGTTTCATCTCAAAGATCATTCGAAAGCCAGAAAATTAGGACATTGAAGTTTCGGGAGGATATTCACCCTTCGAGGTTTCAAATTCCGCTTCCACGTGCCGATGCGTGAAATTTTTAAATATTTTTCAACATTTCAACTACTTTTGCACAAACCAAAGTGTAAAGAAGCGGAAATCATTAACAGGCAATCATTCGGTGGACGGAATTGCACAAAACGCATGATCGCACCGGCAATTTTGGTGCGCGCTGATATTTATTGTGAACAAACCCGGGCTTTTGCAGCACTGGTGCCTATATCACGAGGGTGGGGTTTCGGCTGTGAATGGAACTTGATGCTAGGAGGAAGTTGGGTGGCCAGCTGAACTGTATAGCACGAGTTTTCGTTTAGGCTGAGCGGTGACTCTTCGGATAACAGCTTGTGGTTGTGCAAAGCTTGAAACTGATAATATTTATGAACTGAACTAAACAGAGGTAACCAAAATAAAGATCACA